CCCTAAGATAAACGCATTGTCTGGCACTTTTCACCCTCTAGCATGTAGGCCTGTTTCTTCTCCCTTTCTGAGCCTGGTGGGATCACTATGCACTCTTAAGGAGGTCCAAAAGGCTAACTAGAGACACTCAAGCTGTATTTTCCAAATCGAAAATGAGACATGTGTCAGAATATTCTCAGGAATGATAAGTGAAAGTATTTAAAATTAAGAGTTTTCTTTGAACATTGTGACCACAGAATTCTCTTTCAATTTCTGAATGCCGTGTGTGTGTAAGGTGCCGTGGGTTATGGTTCCAGGTAGGGGTTGTAAGTGGTGACCACAGGTCAGATTTCTCTTCAGCCATGCAGTATCTCAAAAACTGGGGAACTTCTCATGAGCATCCAAATTTCTAACTTCTTTTTAAAAATCGTCAAATCTGGCAACACTGACTTCATAGACCCGCATGAAACTAAATGGTTGCTGCCTTTTTACAGAATACTTTGTCACACTCCTCACTACTCTCTATTGCTTCACATTTAACCTCCTTTTCCTACCTATATGATCTACCTGCCTCTCCAGGCATTTCAATCTGTGCTTGCTGATTCAGTCACACATACCAGTGGTTAAGGCTCCTGTCTGTGCACCATCACAGAAAGGATAGAGTTTCTTGACTCCTGTCAACTCACGTCCCACCTCAGAGGGCTGGCCCTCAGCACAGCGTTGGTCAAAACGTGACATTCCCTGAGACATTGGGAACTCCAATGTTTATCATATGTTCCAGCTTTGCTTCTTTTATCAGAGAAGATCCCCAAAGAGGGAGTCATCAACAGATGATTTTGGTCATTCCTCGATGATATAAAATGTAAGACACAAACATCTCATATGCCTTGTTTGTTCTACTGGTCATGCAGCCAGTTTTGTAACCACAAGAATCTTTTTTAGAAGAATAGATAGCTGGGTCTGGGGGTAGGACTGGGGGGTAGGAAATTGTTGGGCTTCCAGATAATACACTGGTTAATTATGGGACCTCTTATAGTGTTTTGAGCTGGTTCAGTAGGAGAGAAACAGGGATGAGTATGCCCAAGTTTAGAATTTAGAATGGTGTAAGTTCATTCCAAAGTGTGTATGTGAGTATATATGTGAACGTGTGTGTGTGATCTTTTTTTTAAGTTTATTTATTTATTTTGAGGGAGAGGAAGAGAGAGCATGAGCAGGGAGGGACAGAGAGAGAGGGAGAGAGAGAGAATCCCAAGCAGGCTCTGAGCTGTCAATGTGGAGCTCGACATGGGGCTCAATCCCATGACCGTGAGACCATGACCTCAGCTGAAATCAAGAGTCAGATGTTCAACCAACTGAGCCACCCAGGTGCCCCTCATCATAGATAATTCTTAAATCTTCTATTTTCTTGAGAACAATATTATGAACTGCATCATTTCATGTAAAAACATAACTCACAGATACAACATGTCTTTAACAAAATTCTACTAGAAAGTGAGAAAGGTATTGACATGTATCCAGGAGACAAATCAGCGTTTGTGAAAATCATGGTGTCATTTATAATACTTGCCAACTAGTGGTAGGCCAGTGGGGGGGTACCCATTCATCCATTCCCTCATCAGCAGATATTACTAAACACCCACTCTAGATTGAACCACATAAACCTTCCAACATTTGAGCTTTTAATCTATGAAAATAGGTATCTCACATGGTTTCACATGCACCGTGCTAAGTACTATGTTAGGTATGGGGATAGAAGAATAAGAAACGAAGAATGGATTCGTAAACAGCAGTGCAATGAAGGGTCACAAGTGCCGTAATGGGAACGTGTAGAAAAGCCCGTGAGGACCCAGGGAAGGCGGAAGGCGGAGTGGGAAAGTCTATTGTGGTGAACACGGTAATCTTCTCAGTACATGATGCAATCTTCTGTTTAAAATTATTAGTGGTATTAGCTAATTTAAACGGAGGATTTCTATTACAGCCCCATGTTAAGAATTTTATATTTATCTCATGTTATCCTCACAGACCCCTATGGAGTAGGAGTCATCATAATTCCCATATTTCAGAAGAGGAAACAGAAGAGTAGAGAGTTTAAGGACTATACTCAGATTACACAGCTGGTGAGTGCTGGAGCTGGGATTCACCCTGTGACTGTGTAGACACAACCATATCATGACCATGTAAATACAACGTTGCCCTGGTTGTGAATAAATAGCAGTAACAAGAACAAAGACTTCTGACTTTTCAGGTCAAATCCGTCTTGGGACCCATAACCCACTTGGTTTCAACCCCTGAGAGACAGTTTTCTGGTACCAGTCTAGACCACTTGGCATTGAAGCAAATAGGAACATACTTACACTCACATTCACACACGCACGCACACATATGCTCCCAGGCCCACTTTGGAGTGGACTCACCCCCTTTCCGAGGCCTGAACTTATACCTACTGAAGAACACAATGCAAAGGCGGTAAAATGTGGTGGTTTCTCAAGCAATTCCCTATTATGAAATGGAACGAGAACGTTGCCATGATGTAAATTCCAGGGATATTACATGAAGGAGCCAGCTACTGTTTTGTATAGTGATTGGTCCTCCTTGGAAGAATTTCAAATGGTCATTATTCATTGGCATAGGCTCGGGGAAGATGAGGGGGATAAAAAAAAAATTGTAAGTTAGAGCCCTTGAGGCTTTTTATCAGGCACCACCTTGTCATAAACACAATGAGATTGGGTTTCCTGGGTGTTCTCAGGGCTCATTATGCAACAAGCCCCTGGCTCTGCCCTTCCCAGAAAAAGTCCAGAAGCCACTCTTGCAATGTAGTCTCCCCGCTGACCTCAGCAGGGCACGGACAGCCAGGGCTCGGAGTGTGATTCTCATAGTCCTGGGATGGAAAGAGGACTCAGCGTGGAAGGGAAAACAATGAAGGAGAACACACCATCAGGCGACTGTGTCCACCACCTCCTTCTCCTACCATTTCTCAGATTCCTGACCTCAGCCGTGGGCAGCAGTAGCCTTTGTAAGGAGAAAACCAAGGCTCACACTCTAATGAATGGACTGACAGGTGATTCAAAAGAGGTGTCCTACTCCTTTCATCATGTGAGAATGGAAGTCTTCAACCAGAAGAGGACCCTCACCCCCTCACCCAACCATACTGGCACCTTGATCTTGGACTTCCAGTCTCCAGAACTGTGAAAAATAGAATTCTGCAGTTTATAAGCCAAAAAAAAAAAAAGGTATTATATGGAATATGTCAACCAGAAATGTGAAGAACCAAAAAAACGGGGAAGGAGCCATGAAAAGAGACTTATCGTTAGTGAAAGGAAAATGACCGCCCTGAGAGGGGAGGGGTTGGCCGTGGCTGATACACCACAACCTGCCACGTCAGTGACAGCAGTGCTGTGAGAATAGGCAAGTCCCCAAATCGCACTGGTTTGGCACCACGTTTATTGTTTGCTTAAAGACCAGTCTCAGGGAATCCTTCGCTAACAGCCTTCCACACAGTATTTCACGGAGCCAGCCAGATGATGGAGGGTGACAGAGAACTTGCAAGATCACGGGTGATCACGGGCCAGGCCCGAGTGTCACACATCACTCTCGCCTACATTCCTGAATTGGAACCGAGCCAGCGTGGACCCACGCAGATACCAGGACAGCCACTTCCCAGCCATGACTCTACGTTGTAGAAGGGAAGCCTGACTCTTCAGTGGGTAGCCGCTGTCTTCGCCACACCTGCACGCATATTACGATACAATGAATGAACTTCAAAAGATTGTTTGAGAGAGTCCCACTCTCCAATCAGTCACTCATTTCAAGGAAGCACTCACATGGCATGCGATTTACAGCAGGACTGCTTTATCCCGAGGGTCAAACCACTGAGAAGGGAACCTGTGAGTTCACTGTAATTTGTGACCTAAATTATGTTTCTTGTGAACACCACTCTTTTTATGGTGCTCTAATTTTGAAACATTTTCTGTTAGATCCTAGGTGCCTGGAAATGTTACTGTATTAATCACTTTCAGAATTAGCATTTTTTTAATGGTAAATCGAAGTTTGTCAGGATGCGTTATTACGGTATCATGGACACTTCCTTTGGTTGATATATACTGTAGAGACGTGACAAAGACAGTAAGACGCATATCCGTATCTATGTGGTGTCTGTGTTTTTAAGACACTTCAAATTAAAAAGGGGTTTGCATTTAATGAATCTTTAAATGATTTCCTTTGTGTCTTGAGCTGTCATCCTGATCATTTGCCCTGTAGTTCTTGTTAAGCAGCCGTAGCAGAAGTCCTCAGACATAGAATAGAGGGGGCTATCTTCTGTCCGCCTGGAATGTGTTCATATGTGGTCATGAGGGGTCCTCTGTAAGCAGACAGTGGGAGCAGGGCATTACCAAATCTTTACAGTTCCAAAAGGTGAGGGGCCTTTCCCCATCTCATCCTTTCTGAGCATTTCAGTTCTGAACACATGAACAGCGGAAACTCTGGCTGTACAGGGGAGGAAAATGATAATTTACAGTCCCGTGTAAGATACTTATTTGAAACTAGATTGAAATATGTCTATATCAGATCTCCATTTTTCTGGGTATCAGTCTATCTGTATCTACCTTGTTTATGTTCTGCCATTATTCCCACCGAGTAAGTCTCATCCTTGTGATACACTTCTTCATGTCAGGGATTGTTTCTTCTATTATTTTTATAACTCTACCTCTACCACCAAAGTGTGTGCATGCATGCAAGCACACACACATGCACACACATACAAACACACACACATGACACAGCTTGAAAAGGCAGCCCATGACTTGAAGTTGATTTTGATGTTTTCTTCTTGAAGAAGCAAGATATAGTGGCAAAAGAAAAAGACCACAATTCAAAATGATATACTAGAATCAAGTAAGACAGTGAGTAAGTGATGGGAGAGCTCCAACATTTTAGGCAGCAATGCAGAAAGGTGGGGGAGCGTGAAGCGTATACTCTAGGTTGAGTTATCCTACGTTAAAGGGTTATTCTGGAAGTTACACTCAGTTCAGTTTACACTCTATTTGTCAGAACCTAGCTACAGGTCCGTACTTGCTGCAAGGGAATCTGGGAAGCATAAATTTTGGTTGGATGTTTCGTGACTGGGATAAAAGGCTAAACTCGGGGTGCCTGGGCGGCTCAGTCGGTTAAGCGTCCGACCTCGACTCAGGTCATGATCTCACGGTTTGTGAGTTCGAGCCCCACATCAAGCTCTGTGCCGACAGCTCGGGGCCTGGGACCTGCTTCAGATTCTGTGTCTCCCTCTCTCTCTGCCCCTCCCTGCTCATGCTCTGTCTCTCTGTGTCTCTCAAAAATAAATAAATGTTAAAAAAAAAAAAAAAAAGGCTAAACTATGTTTTCCCCAGTCTGAGTTGTCTTATGGAAATTTCAGCTCTGTTATGAGTTTTTGCTACAACTAAGGATTCCTGCTGTTGTGGTGACAGTGGTTCGTTGGAAAATACCACATCAGCAAGCAGAGGTAAGCAGCATGTCAAGCGAAGACAAAACCCAAGCACAATCTTCTTTTTACTGAAACACACGAGAGCTTTGCCACAGCATAAATGATGATGACGGAACTGTCTACAACAGCACGCAGGGCTCACAAACACCACCGGACACTCCAGCGCTTGGAAGGGCGCTCCGAAATTACACATGGGGGTTAGGTATCACCGACTCGAGGGGGTGGAAAAAGCATTCTCGATCCTTCTCTGCCAGAAGAGGTCTCTCCGCATAGCTGGGATGGGGATGAGTGAGGTCAAGTTAGGCTCAACCACGGCCCAATGTGAACTAAGAAAACCCTTCACACACTGTCTGGGGAATGTTATCCAAGTACTTAAATTAGGCCGACGCCCTAAAACAGCCTAACACAAGAAATACTTTGGTATCTCATGTCTCTCCCATGTCTTCTTCCTTTTGCCCAGCCAGGGGGAGTAAGTGAATTCATTGCCTGAGCAGAATTAGGTCAGACCAGAGCAGAATATCAAGCTGACAGAGGGGAGCTTCGTGCCAACATTGATTAAATGAGAAGGGAAAAGAAAGTCTCACTCTGAATCCAAATATGGGAGTTTAGAAGGGAAAAGGCTAATGTTAGGCTACTTAAGAATTAATACAAAAAGACGCATTTGTTATCAGAGAATCAAAGAGTTTCCATCCATGCGAATACTTAGTTGTAAAGAAGCCACGTTTTTATGTTGATAAATCTTTAAGACGCTCAAGCTTTAGCTGTTAGGCTAAAAACTTCATTTGTTTTTTAGAAAGCCTTCAAACACTGTGCGTATTACAGCTCTTCAAATATATATCATGGCATACATTATTCTTGCAGAATTTTTTTCTTAAGAGTGTTCTGACTGCCACCTTCCACCCTGGAACTGAAAGAGCGGCTCTCCGTCATAAAGGGGACAGCTTCTGACAGTCTTGTCTCCACAAATGACAACCTCATTAATGATGCTAAGTTTATATTGTAAATATATTATCACCACTCTCATACCAACTGCTTATGTTAAAAAATAATTACTAATTAGTTCCAGCAAGTGCATTATAAAAAGGTGGCTAATTTTAACTATTTTTCTTCTCCTTATTTCAGAAAAAAAAAAATTGAGTGATTCAGAGAAAGCAATCTGTTACCTGGAGCAATTTAGAATTTTTTAATGATCTGTGATCAGAGTTTTTAATAATCTCATGAAAATGGTGGTTCAGGTAACAAGAAGTGACTTGTAGCTTCCAGCTTGTGTCCTTATCCTTGAAATTTAATGATTAAGAATAAAGCTATTTTTTAAACTGTTTTTTAATGTTTACTTTTTGAGAGAGAGAAAGAGAGACAGAGTGCAAGCAGGGGAGGGGCAGAGAGAGAGGGAGACACAGAATCTGAAGCAGGCTCCAGGCTCTGAGCTGTCTGCACAGAGCCCGATGCGGGGCTCGAACTCGTGGACTGAGAGATCATGACCTGAACCAAAGTCAGACGCTTAGCCGACTGAGCCACCCGGGCATCTCAAGAATAAATCTATTTTCCCGACTTTATCTTTGTTTCTAATTTACCTCTGGCATGCCTTGTAAGACGTTGTCTGGACACCCATCCTACTCTCTCTGACAGCAAGCTAATATTCTTCTAGGCCTCTTCTCTTGCTTCCTGATCTTCAGCCTCAAGCAAATGTCTGGTCCCCATGACCCCCAACCCCTTGCTGTCTTTAGCTACACCTTCCCCCTGACTCGCAGCACCCCCCCCTCATTCTGCCTAGATTCCAAGATGGAATTTTTAAACCAGTCTCTCCCCAGACCATCTTGTCTTCAGCCACTTTCAAGCAAAACCCCAACCTAGGATCGATCAACCATCCATTTTCTCTACTTTTTGTACGTTTCCCTATGTTGGCTGTACCGCAACATTCTTGCCAAGCTGGACAGCACCTTCTCTTTGCCGAGGGTGTATTAAATGGCCATGGGTGAGGGTTCTGGGCTGGACCATTGGGGTCCATGTCCTGACTCTGTTACTTATGGGCTGAGTCACCATGGCGAGTTTCTTCACTCCCTTAAAGGCTTCATCTTTCATCTACAAGACAGACGTGAAAAAGGAAGAAATAATAAAAGAATTAAGTGAATATTATGGATATGATTTTAGAACTGAAGTCTAATAATCTTTATCTTTTCATTGCAGTAGTTCGTTTACTAAACCCTAAATTCAATCGCTGGCATACTGAGTTTAAATTTTCCGTCTCAGTATTTGTTTTGTTTGTCCCACCTTTTTCTGTTCCCCCCACCTCTTTTTTCTCCCACTTGTTTCTTGCTCTCTTTTGGATTAATCAAACATTTTTTTTTATTATTCTAATTTTGCCTGTTATGACGAGTATTACTTTTATTTGGGTGAGGATACTATCAAATTGTGGATTAAGGATTTCTTTGAGGGAAACTGGCAAGGATGAAATGCTTGACCTGGCAGCAAGCTATTATTCTTTTTTTTATTGAGCACCTACGCTATAACACGGCCTCTTCAAAGCTCGGAGAATCAAGCAGGGAATAAAAGCAATAAAAGCTGCCCTCATGCAGTTTTTAATCTCAGCAAAAAAGAGCACGGACTCTGAGGTCAGGCAATCCTGGGTTCAGAAACTAGGGTTGTTGGGGCACCTGGGTGACTCAGTCGGTTGAGTGTCCGACTTCGGCTCAGGACATGATCTCACAGCTCGTGAGTTCAAGTCCCGCGTCGGGCTCTGTGCTGACAGCTCAGAGCCTGGAGCCTGCTTCAGATTCTGGGTCTCCCTCTCTCTCTCTGCACCTCCCCTGCTCGCACTCTGTCTCTCTCTCTCAAAAATAAATAAAAACATTAAAAAAATTAAAAAAAAAATAAACGAGTGTTGTCACTAACTAGTTGTGTGATTTTAGACAATTGCCTATGCAGTTCATTCAGCTGAAAAGGTTGGGGTGACACTTTCCTCGGATGGTTATTATAAAGACTAGAGACAATGTATAGAAAGCTCTGTACAGTTGGGGCACACAGTATATAATTATTGTTATTACATTCACCAAACACTACCATCTGAACATCTTGCCCCAAACTAGTATTATTAAATATATGCCAAATGGAGACCACTTTAATATTACTCTCACTGTCTCTGCCCACACAATGAAACTGTGATATATGTGTCTTAAATGTTTGTATTTTCCTGCACTCTGATTTTCAATTTTGTGAGCATGATTTACCTCGTGGTACATGAGTTTGCAATACTAATAGGATCTGGAATAATAATAACCATGTGTAACATATGGTGACATTCGCCATCTTCCTAGAGAAGGCAGATGTTTAACGTTAGTGTTATATTACTTCTGGTGATTATTATTAACTACTAAGTTTCACGTTCATGCAAAAAAGGATGGGTGAGGAAAGCAGGATCATGACTTTCAAACAGTAACATCTACAAATATATCTACCCAGAACTGCATAATTAATTAGTAGGAAATGTCTTTTCAAATTCTCTGGCTCATAACTACAGTTGTTCACCTTTGGAATGACTAGAAGTTCAAACTCTTTATAAGTATCGCCATGTTGAAGTTAGTACAGACACTTGTTATGTATTTATCACGTTTGAGTTCACCTAGACACCATGGAGCGAATGGCTCATAGTGTTCGATAATAGGTGGTTTTGGTTGTACCTCCTAGGAAAATGCAATTTAGCCAGAAAAGAAGTGACTTATTGTTTTACCAGGGGAGGTCATTGGCAGGAGTTCTGGAACTTTGGGTGCCTAAGGATTGCCTGGGAGAAAGCAGGGAGTGAGGGAGTGTACTTTTGAAAGTTAGGATTGTTATAAATGCAGATTCCTGGGCCTCACTCCCTGTGACTCCAAGTGGCAGATGGGTCACAAATAATCTCTTAATCTAAAGAGGGAACTCAGTGGGGATCTTTCCCTTCTTGTGGTGGTGCCCAGGAATCAAAGCTACAGGTAGGTTATCTGCCGAATTATTATCCTTCAAAGCTTTTCTTGGGATTTTTACCTTAGTTACTACACTCTAGAAAAGCTTACAGCTGTACCTTGACCCCACTTTAATTTAATATTTCTATAAATGTTTATCTGTAAAAAATTATATGAGCTATATTTCTTGACCTGAAAATGAAATCGTACATACTGATAAATTTAGCTATAATTGAAGGGCAAAGGATGAAATTAGAAATATCGAACCAGTGATTGGCAAAACTGGAGGTCAAATCAATTCGATCACAAAAGAAATGTATGAGATGTCAAAGAGCTCAACATCCATCAGACAGAAGAAACAGATAAACAAAAACTAATCATACCGTATTTTAAGCATTAAGGCACAGAGAAAGATACCATGGAAATGAAGAATGATGGTGAAGAAAGAAACATTTGATTTCATCTGGATGCCCAGGGAAGAAGTGACATGTAAGTGGACTTTGAAAAACAGGTAGAAAGTCATTGAACAGAGGAGGGAGAAGGTATATCGAAGCAGAGGGAAGAGCGTGAGCAAGGATGTGGCTGGGGCAGCTGGTTTATTCAGGTGGGCAGAGTAGTAGAAATAGATTGAACAAGTAAGCTGGCCGAGTCGCGAGGGGCCCTGCATGTCTGCTAAGGACTTGGGACATTTCTCTGTAGGGAGCAGGGAACTGTTAGAG